TATATGTTGTTTGTTTTGAATTCTAACATGCCATTGACCTTCAAAAAGCTGTTCAGACACAGCAATGGGCCAGATGTGACCCGGGGGCCATTCAGTGCTCAGGTTTCCTCTGAACAGATTCATCCTGCCTGCTCTCCATCACGCAATCTGTAAGGAAAATCTCTCCCAGCCAACAACTCTCCTGGCATTTATTCACTTACCTGGGATCATCTGATTACCTGATTGTTTTCTTAGAGTTGTAGGTAGTTTTCCGTGACTTTGCACAGGCTGTAGTAAAAAAACAATTGTGGTCTTTTATCTCTCTCAGTATTTTGTCACCTTTGACTCTCTTGTGTAGAACATTGGGTAGCGACACTATCACAGTCCTGTTTGTGCGTGTTGCAGCATTTTTTACTGTACAAAAACCAAACGTGGTTACAAACTTACCATACTGCTCTAGGCCTGATGAACCGTCTCACTCACCTGTCAGCTTTCAAACATTTGTTCACAGTGTCAGTCTGTGGTTGTGAAAGTGTCTGCTCACTCGCTGCTGTCAGAGCATTTTCTTTTCTTCATATGTCATAATGAAAGTCAGTACTTTATTACATTTGCAATCTCTGCTGTGAAAGTGTGCGAGACGTTTCTGTTTGGTTTTCATTACTATTTCTATTAATAATAACTGAATTTCCTTGAACTGTAGAGTTTTGTCATGTCTTTGTGAAAGCATCGGTGCAGTAAGCTCTTCAGTGCTGGGCAGAAACTCAAAGTAGTACTTTTATTGAAATATACACTTACAAAAAACTAACAATAAAAAATCAAAGAAAAAAAAACAAGAATGGACAGAAAAATATAATGGAAAATCATAAAAAACAGAAAAGAATAAAAAACAAAAAAAATTCAAAAAAATTAATTTAAAAAAGCAGTGTGTTTTTCCACCACACTAATTTAATTTTTATAAGATATTTCAGAAAGCAGCACATGGGTTAGTTTGACTAATATATCCAGCAAGTGTAAGTTTGTAAAGTTTATGTAACATACCATCCCCCCCACAGACTACAATAAAAATAAAAATGAGCACTGAAACTAATAAAGATGAAATGAGCAAAGCTAGATTAGAAACAGGGGGAAACTGAGAATTAACAAAAATGTGTTAACAG